AATTCTTCCAGCTCCCATCACTCAACAGTAATCACATGATGTCACTCTTACTGGAGCTAAGGATGATGCTGGTGATTCTCTTTGGTCTCAGAGGCATTTCTTCTATGGTCTGTGTCATCGTTCTGTATGAAAAGGCCTTGGCTGCATTGAGACAGGAGAAGCGTTTGGCCTGTTGGTGGCAGACCCTGCTGGGAAACAGAAGCTGCAGTAAAACACAGAGGTTTTTCTAGAAGCTGTGGCATTTTGCCCCTTTGGGGAATTTAATTTGAACTTTCAGGAGCTTGGGGGTGCCAAGAGAGGAGAAGGAATGTATTGTGGTCACTTCATTCTAGCAAAACTTTTAAGCACAAAAGCTCACCTCGAGACATGTCTTAATAGGACTAGGTCAGATGGAGCAACAGTTAAGAACATGCACTGCTCTTGGGGGAGGGTACAAATTCAGTTTCAAGCACTCACATAACGGGGCTCAAAACCACCGCAACTCCGTCTCTATTAGATCTAATGTGCCCTCCTGGCCTCTGCAGGTACTGTACTCTCAGGATGTACATATCCATACAGAGATACTGACAGAAACTTAAGAACAATAATGATTCATTTTTTTTTTTTGGTTTTACGAGACAGGGTTTGTCTGTATTGTTTTGGAGGCTGTCTGTCCAGACCGGCCTCGAACTCACTGAGATCCACCTGCCTCTGCCTCTGGAGTGCTGGGATTAAAGGCGTGGGCCACCACCGCCCGGAATGATTAATTTTTAAAAAAAATCTGAGCTGGATGTCTTCATTGGGGTTTCTGCTGCTGCGATGAAACTCCATGACCAAAAAGAAACTTGGGGAAGAAAGGGTTTATTTGGCTTACATATTCTTAGACACATTCCACTGAGGGAAGCCAAGGACGGAACTCCAACAGGGTGGAGGCCTGGAGCAGGAACCAAGGCAGAAGGAATGGAGGATGCTGCTTACTGGCTTTTTCCTCATGGCTTGCTCAGCTTGGTTTCTTATAGAAGGCAGGACTGCCAACCCAGAACTGACACTACCTACAATGGGCTAGACCCTCTCCTGTCAATTAAGAAAAATGCCCTATAGGTTTGTCTGCTCATAGCTTGATCTTATGGAGGCTTTTTCTCAGTCCAGGTTCCCTCTTCTCAGATTACCGTGGCTCAGAGATGAGCTGACATTAAACTATCCAGCATACTAGATGTGATGGTGCACCTTATTGCACGGCATGCAGGGGACAGAGGTATGTAGATCTCCGTGACTTGGAACCCAGTTTGTTGCCGTTATAAAAATCACTCTGACCAAAAGCAACTTAGGCAAGGAAAAGATTCATTTGGCTTCCACTTCTGGGTTACAGTCCGTCTGTCATTGAAGAAGTGAGGGCAGGAACTTGAAGCAGAAACCATTGAAGAACACTGTTTGCTGGCTCACCCCTGGCTTGCTCATGCTCAAGCTGGCTTCCTTATATAGCACAGGGCCAAGTGCCTAGAGGTTGGTGCTGCTCATACAGGCTGGTCCTCCTGTGCTAGTTAGCAATGAAGACAACCCCTCATAGACATGCCCACAGAACGCCCTGATGAAGATAATTACTCAACCCAAACTCTTTTCATCAGGTGATTCTAAGCTGTGTCAAACCAACAGTTAGTGTTAACTAGGACACACTCCCAAAATTATCCTTAAGAAAGACTATCTTAAGACCATTTAATGGAAGAAACACAGGTCCCAAATGATCCCAGTAGAGGCTATTCTTAGAAGTGCCCCCCAGTCTATTGCTCCTCTTGATAACATAAAAAATGTAATATCTGATTATGGGGATTTGACCTCTTAATAGCAACTATATAATGTGATATAAAATGGGGGTTATGTCCTAATGGAATGAAGATGGGTATCCGTGGCCTAGGACATTATTTTCAGAGAAGAATTTCCACAAAGGACTTTCCTACAAATCACCAAGAATGAAGAATAATGTATCCAGGGAAAAATGTCTTGACAAGTCCAAGAGTGATTTAAAAAAAATAGCAGTGTCAAAGGAACACAGGCAGACTGAGAAACAAAACTTTTTATTTAATGTGAACGAAAAGCCATTATTTCCATAACTGTGACTTTACATGAAAGGAGCAGTCAAAAGCACACTAATTTTGCAGATCAATTATTTTGAATTAAAGACACTCAGAAAACATCAGGTGAAACAAGGTCATTGTGGCCTTTTCTGTGTCTCACAAAAAGAAGGAAAGAGGCTGGATATATGGCTGCATCAGTTAAGAGTTTGCTGTGTGAACATGAGCTCCTGGGTTTGAGCTCCTAGAGGTCTCACAGGAAATCTGAGTGTAGAGGCATGTGCTTGTGATCCTGGCACTATGAGGAAATGGTGTGGGTAAGCACCTAGGTCCTTTCTGGAATACAAATAGAGTCAATCAGCAGGTTCCAGGTTTGGTAGAATGAAGTGGAGAGTGACAAAGAAGACACCCAGTGTTGACTTTTGATCTTCATTGACTCCAGTGTACACAAACAGGAACCCCTGCAAGCACGCGCGCGCGCGCGCACACACACACACACACACGCACACACAGTAATAATAATGATAATAATAGTAGTAATATAGTCCCCACAAGATTCTTTTAACAAGTCCATACACAGATCTCACTAAGTAGTTAAAACAGCTCTTAATCTTCCTTTATTTACAGCTACTGTTCTCTGTCTAACACATAGTGTGAGTTGCTTCTAACAGGCCCATTGGGTCCTTGTTTCTCTAAGAGGCCTCTGGAGTCTCACAAAAAAAAAAATCTTAATAAAAGTGTGTGCTTCTCTCCTGCTGATTTTCAGAATGAGCTAAAAGGAAACTGTATAAAGGAGTCCTCCCATTCCTCAAAACACACATGTGAAGGATGGACGCTTAGGGAATTCCATTTCAAACAAGACTCTTCTGTATCTCTAAGACTACACATTTAACTTGGAATGAAACAACAACAACGAAACATCAGTCTTGTTATCTGGAAAGGTGGAACTAGCCTCCCGTAAACATAGTGAAATGCTATGGAATGTCAACCAACCTGGGACTCTGGTTACAAGCTGTGGGAGTGTGAGCTACAAACGGCTCAGAGAGTCTCTCTCTAGGGAGAGAACCTTCTACCAACATCCCTGGATAAGTAAGTGGTTGCTGTGATGGCAGGTTGTGGAGGACAATTCTCTGACAGTCCAGTCTCACTCCACTGCATCAGGGCAGTTCTGTGGATCCCACACAGACCCAGAGCCATTCTTACAAAGAACAGATTGCTGGCCCTCTGCTGCTCCTACTAGAGCTCCCTGCTCAGTTTTCAGTCCCCTGCTTCCCTGGGGGCGGGGGGAGAGGGAGACTCTGTGCAGGGAACCTCCCTCATAAACTGTGTTTCCAGGATTCCTTAGCAGAGAGGCTTTGAAAAGATGCTTTTGCTAACACGTAAACAGGTTTGTGTGCATGCATACAGAAAAATAAAAAAACAGGAAAAAAGCTCCAAGCCTCCTTGAGGACAGGGCTAGTGAACATCTGAAGACAGACGGGCTGAGATGAAAACACAAGTGTGTTTCCTCAGCTTTGTCCGATGCTTTCCCTCAACTCAGCTCCCGCTGCCTCACTTAACAATAGGGCATTTTGCAAGAAATATAGGTATCTAGTGATTTTTCGAGATTACAAATCTGAGATGGGGCAATAGGGTGCACGCATCCCACACAACGGCAATCAGCCACAAATGAGTTTCAGCTGTTGCTCTGTTAGGACAAAGTGGTGGCTTTGAATGAGGCAGGTTCTCCAACTCTCCTGTGGTGATTTGAATAAAAACCACCCCATAGGCCCACATATCTGAATGCTTAGTCATCAGGGGGTGGCACTGTTTGAGAAGGATTAGGAGGTATGGCCTTGTTGAAGCAGTGTAGCCTTACTGGAGGAAGCATGTCACAGCAGGTGGGCTTTGAGGTTTCAAAAGCTAAAGCCAGTCCCAGTGCTGGTCTACCTGCTACCTGAAGATCCAGATGCAGAACTCTCAGCTATTTCTTCAGCATCATGTCTGCCTGCATGCTCTCATGCTCCTTGACATGATGATAATGGACTAAACCTCTGGAATTGTAAGCAGTCCCAATTAAATGCTTTCCCTTATAAGAGTTGCCTTGGGACTGGGGATAATTGTCATCAGAGACCAGAGAAACTTCATCCAGCAACTAATGGGAGCAGATGCAGAGTCCCACAGCCAAATATTAGGCAGAGCTTGGGCTATCCTGCAGAGGAGGGGGAGGAAGAATGCTAGAAGCCAGAGGGGACAGGGACACCATGAAAACAGGACCCACAAAATAAATTGATGGAGACTCATGAGGGCACACAGAGATCAGGGAGCCTGAAGGGGTCTGCCCTAGATCCTCTGCATATATGTTATGACTAAGTACTTGCTGTTTTTGTGGGATTCCTAACAGCAGCAGTGGAGCCTGTCTCTGGCTCTTTTGCCTGTTTGTGGGATCCTTTTCCTCCTACTGGGTCACCTTGTCCAGCCTTGATATGATAGAATGTGCCTGGTAGTATTATAGCGTATTTTGCCATGTGTGGTTGATGGCCCTAGGAGGCCTGTTCTTTTCTGAGAGGAGATGGAGGCGGTGGATCTGGATGTGGTGGGGAGAGGTTGGAGGTAGGGGAGGGAGGGTAGAGAGAATAAACTGAGGTCAGGAGATAATATATGTGAAAAGAATTTTTTAAAAGGGGTTGCCTTGGTTGTGGTGTCTTTCACAGCAATAGACAAGTGACTAAGACACCTGGGCTGTATGTGGTTCTGTGAACTCAGACTCTCATCATCATTTCCGCACCCCTCCCCCACCCCACCCCCCACTCCATGTGATCCTTTCAGAATGCAGACCCACAGGAGCAGGGCCGTGTCTAACTGTCCTGTGACTTCCACAGGCACAGCCTGGCACAGGACATAGCAGCAGATCACCAAGAAATTTACTGGAAGTACACGTGTTGTTTTCCTCCAATAGGAGCTGTGGTTTCGTTCTCTTCTCAAATGTGCCTCATAAGATTGTGAAGCCCCTCAGCGGGGGAGGTAGACCTGAATGGAGGTGAGTCAAGGTGAGCGGCTCCACTCAGGATACCGAATTTGATTGCTGGAAAAACGAAGGCTTGCCACGTGTAAAAGAATCTGAGATGCCTGTTCCGAAGTCTCTGTGCCTCTCAGCAGGGGGATTACTGGGAAGGGAAGATGAACCTGTGAGTACCCCCCTGAAAATAGCAACATAACTCAACCCGGGGTCCTCCAAACAGTTGGATTTGAAATTGAAAGGAATTATTTTGCCTGTCATTAAGACTATAAAAGTAGGACACACGATAGGAGATCAATTTTAAATCATCTGAGACTGTGGGAAAGATATTTTTCCCTGGGGCTCTTTTCAAGAGGACTAATGTGTGTTCTTGCCACGGCCTTTTAATAAAGAAATCATGCATTATGCAAACATTAACATTTAAACCAATTATGAGCAATTGTAGCCAACTCTTTGAAGAATATAGAACTGAGTTATAGCTTCTTTTATGAATATGATTCCTTTACTAAAATAAAACCCAGAGAGTTATGTCCTGTGCATCAGCTTAAGCTGCTGGAAGAAAACTCATTTCCTGTATTTATCCACTCGAACGAGAGGACATTATCAAAGAATTCTATGTGTAAATTATGAACCCATTGCCAGTGAATGTGGGCAATGTGTCAGCTCTATGATATGTATTCACCTGCTAGCAGGACACCGAGGGAATCACACCATCCTCAGTTAACCTTTGGCCTCTTCATTTACATGCACACAAATATATGTGCAGGTATACATACCTACATATGCACCTGCTACCATGTACCTGCACATACACATATGTACATATATGCATGCACACATACAGTTATACACATACACCTGTACATAATACATGTACCTGTATACATGCAACTAGACACATGTACCTTTACACACACATGCATACACACACAGGTGCCTCCACACACACACACACACACATACATGCTCACATACAGTTGAACACACATAGGCACACACATACACATATACATGTCCATGTACCTGCACACACACACACACACACACACACACACACATACCTGCACATACCCAAGCATACACACAGGTACCTACACACATGCATACACACATGTACCCCATACACACATGCTCACATACAGTTGAACACACACAGGCACACACATGCCCCCCCACATACACATATGCATACACACATGTCTGCTTAAAACACTGGTGTTCATGTATAGCTGCACAAACACAAATATTTTATTACACTGATTTGAGCTCAAGTAAGCAGCTTACAGTCTGGAAAAGTTAGAGACTAAAAGCTTTAGAAGTAAAGCAACTTAGGAAACTAACAGGTATAGAACTGAATGACAACTCGCACAAATGTCCTTCCTCAACTTCCTGAATACCAAATATTCTCCAAACCATACTTTGACATTTTTATTGTGACTCTTCATAGTTTATGGTAAAGAAAAACAACATCCGTATTTATAATGCAAATGACTTGCATGCACCATGTTTACTGTTTTCCCTCTATGACACACTCATCACAGAAATTAATCTTAACAGCTATGCATGGCATTCTGTAAAGAATCCAGTCAATGTGCCCTTCTTATGACTAATGAAAAAGTCTCTTTTTTCTGCAAGAAATGAAAGGCTTTTAGAAAAATCCTTCTCTTTTTATGCTGAGATGAGTGTTCTATAAATGTCATCCTTCTCTTTCTATTTTTCAACAGCTAAACTAAGTTTTATAATGGGGAAAGGGAAAAAAGTCAACCAAAACAAAGAAGACATGCCTACTTTTGCTCCTGGGTAGTGGAAAATTCACAGCACTGTGGGATAAATGGCCTGAGTCTGTGACCCTGTGGTGAGCATGACATGCTGCTCCTGTCACATGGTTTTCAGCTGGTGATGAGCCTAAGGTAGAGATACATACAGTCAACAATGAAAAGACACCCAGTGCCCAGTTTTACAAGGATCCTGTCTGATGAAGTGTGTTTTCCTCAATCTCACAGGTTTCTGGCAAACTCATTTCCGTGAAGTCTATTACCCTCACAGGGAGAAAAACTTCTCCAGAAAATTCACACGTGTTAAATAATCACAATTGTAGACATCCCCTGCTTTCGGTGAGTAAAATCTATATAACGTGCTGTAACTTTTTCTGAGCCACTGAAACATAGGTCAGATGGATGTACTAGTGACTTTTCTCACTGCTGTGTCAAAATGCCTGGTAAAAACAACAGAAATGAGAAAGTCTGATTGTGGCTCCCAGATTGAGAGCAGGGAGGCATAGTGAGGGGAGGGGAGGTGTCAGGTCACATGGAGTCCAGGGATGGCGCTTCTCACACCCAGGATGGAGCTGATGGGGCTCCTCAGTGAATCCCACCAGAAAGCTTTCACAGACACACCTAGAGATGTGACATCCAGATGATTCTAAATTCCGTCAAACTGACGGTCGGGGTCAACCATCACACCAGGAGGGGTGTGGAGGAGCAATACAGATATCAGCTACAGGCGCATGCTTCCCACAAGAAATTCAGAAGAATGTGGCTTACAATGTTGAGAAAGCCATGCTAATTATGTTTTATTTTATGTGTGTGGGTGTTTTGCCTGCAGGTTTCTTTTTTGTACCACATCTGTGCCGGGTGCCCTCCGAAGCAAGAAGAGTTACAGATGGTTGTGAGCTGCCATGTGGATGCTGAGAGATGAATCTGGGTCCAATGCAAGAGCAGCCATTGCTCTTAAACACTGAGCCATCTGATTAACCCCATGACTTAGGGGTTTTACCTGACTCTCATGACTTGTTCATGTGTCCCGCAAAAAGGATGCTCCAAAGTCACAATAATACTGTGTGTATTTATGAGGGACAGGTCTCAGGAGCCAAAGTTCAGGCTTGAAAGCCATTTTTTTTCTGGATAGTTCTTCATATAATTTCTTTTAGCATCAACAAGTAGATAACATGAATAGACTTTTGCCTTAAAAAGAGGTGACTGACTTGTTTTCAATGTGTGTATTCAAAGCTTAAAAATTTCAACACAGAAGCACATAGATCTACTTGGGCTTGTCTCAACTCATAGTTTGAGGGTTCATAGTCCCTTATCATGGGGAAGGCATGATGGGAATAGTGATTCTAGCTAAGGCAGTGGGAGCATGAGGCAGTGGGGTCAAAGTGCACCCACAGTCCTTAGTGCAGTGGTGCCCTCTTCTGGCCGCCGTAGACACTGCACTCATGAGCACAAACCCACACTGAGATACACACATCTAAAAATAAAATAATCTCTTTTAAAGGTTAGGGGAGAGGTAGATTGAGAAAAGATGGTGGAAATTCAAGAGATTACTTAGGAGAAAGAATAAGGTAGGGCAATCCTGTGGCTTGGTAGAGTAGAGGTCCAAATTCCAGTACCACAAGTGGGTTATGTGGGCATAATTGGTGTTTCCCTTAGGGGTTCTGTGAGTTTTGAAAATGGATCCTTGCTCAATCCTGAACCCTTGGATGAGGGTCTGTGTGGATGGTGGCCATCACTTAAGTAGTTTTTGTCCTCAATGTCTCCTGTTAGCTGTCTATGGCACCTCTGCTACTTTTAAAACTTAGATGAGGTGAGATCTCTGACACAGGGTTATCAGGACTTTTGTGAACAGTGACTCCCTCACTGCTGCAGCATGAGTTCACATGGTAGCTCCAGATGGTCATATTTTATTTTCATTTGGAAGCTAGTTGATAGCAAGCAAGAATCAAAACCCTTTCTTGTTAACTCTAGTATCATTTGAAGAAGTCTGAAACTCCAATATTGAGCTCTGAAAATTGGATGATTCCTAACTGTCTTACTTAGGGTTGCTATTAGATTACACCATGACCAAAATCAACTTTGGGAAGAAAGAGTTTATTTGGCTTACACTTCCAAATCACTGTTCGTCACTAAGGGAATCAGGACAAGAACTTAAGCAGAGCAGAAATCAGGAGGCAGGAGCTGATGCAGAGGTCATAGAGGGGTGCGACTTACTGGCTTGCTCAGCCTGCTTTTTTCTTTTCTTTTCTTTTCTTTTTTTTTTGGTTTTTCGTGACAGGGTTTCTCTGTATTGTTTTGGAGGCTGTCCTGGAACTCACTCTGTAGACCAGGATGGCCTCAAACTCACAGAGATCCGCCTGCCTCTGCCTCCCGAGTGCTGGGATTAAAGGCATGCGCCACCAACGCCCGGCCTGCTTTCTTATAGAACCCAGGACCACCAGCCCAGGGGTAGTATCACCCACAGTGGGATGGGTCCTCCCTCATCAATCACTGATTAAGAAAATGCCCTACAGGATTGCCTTCAGCCTAATCTGAGGTTAATTTATATTTGTCAATTTACACCCTTCCAAAGCATTTTGAGTGGCATGCCCAGAGACTGACACTGTCAGAGATGCTTGGTGGGAACCCTGGAGGTGATGGGTTCTGTTTACTGTACTTGGAATAAGTGTGCTTTTTTCCATAATCAAGCCTTTTTAAAAAAAACAAAACAAAACAGGTGTGATCTGGCTGGGGATGTGGCTAAGTTGGTAGAGCGGGTGCAGAGATGGCATAAAGGCCTGCACCTTACAAGCCCCGTGTGTTGGCACCTGTCCATCACCCCAGCATTTGCGAGCTGGCGGGAGGAAGATCAGAAAATCAAGGTCATTCTCGGGATGTGGAGGGAGTTCCAGCTGTGTGAGACCCTGTTTCAAAACAGAAAAACATGAGATCCGCTCTAAAATAACCTCATCAGGCTGTGGCATACAAAATGTAGCCACCATCTGCGGCTTTCCCATTCACCCTGTAAGTAAGAACTTAGGGACAGAGGGGTAAGGGAAAAATGGCCCAGGCTCACCCTAAGGTTTGAGGCTATTCATTTATCTTCTTGCTGTTTCCAGTAAGACTCTGCCTGTTTCCTCTTCATTTTGAATTTTCCTCCTTACCAGTATTTGGTCTGTGCACAAGAGCCTGGCGGGGTGGAGGACTGAGAAACATTTAAAGCAGGGAAAAATCTGGCTCTGCTCCATCATTGCTAGCTGTGGCCTGCAGCTGGACTCTGGGTTCACTAGTCTGCGAAATGGGAAATTTACAGAGGATGTAATGACCAAAGACCACAAAGTGTCTAAATGTGCCTCAGAATCTGTTTCTGAAGGCACCACGGTGACAGGTGCCATTTACCCAGAACTCTGCTGAGTGCCAGGCTGGGAAGAAGATGACAGAGGTGACACCAGTTGACCCGCCAGAGAGATCCTGGAAATTGGGGTTGTTACTTTATGGGTATAAATAGCATTATTTATCAGCAAGTGGTGTTTCTTGAGCACACAGGGGCCTCAAGGTCAGGTTGGACACAGCCTCCATCTTCCAGTAGCTTTCCCCCATCTGGTCTCTGCACAGGTCCTCACGGATCAGAGAGAACAGGTGACAGATTTAAACCCAGTGGTGACGTCCATGCATGTTGATGACACAGGACCAACACCACTTTTGTGCAAAACTCATGTGCCTCAAGCCTAGCAAATTTAGGACTCTGGGATACTGACCTGTTAGAACAGTGGTTGTCAACCTTCCTCAAGCTGCATGTGTTATTTTGATGCCCCCTACCATAAAATTATTTTCATAACTGTAATTTTGCTACTGTTGTGAATCATAATGCAATCATCTGTGTTTTCTGATAGTCTTAGGAGACCCCTGTGAAAGGGTCTTTTGATCTCGAAGGGGTTAGAATGACCAGCAGCAAGCCTGTGGGTGAAGAGTAAAATGGTCCCAGCCCTCCAACCTTGGCTCTGAGCCATGGGAGCTGCGATTGGAGAACATCTGGAGACAGAACCTTCAAGCACACAATGACATTAGACATCATCAGGCCTGGATGAACAATAGCTTACAAATGCAGGGTGAACTTTTCATTTTATTTCCACAAGCAACTTCTGGGATTTTTCCGGCTTTACTTTTGGGCCTTATGTTTGTGGACTGCACAAATGTATTTCTCTCCACACACAAACATCACTTGATCTGATCAAAAAAGGTAATGGCCTAGACAAGGGTGGTTTATAGACATTTAAAAACAAACAGGGAAACCTCTCATAGGATTTGTTTGCACACCTGCAAAGAAATGCCACTCAGATGCACGCCTCGCAGAGAGAAAGGGCTGTGCATTTCTTTGAACTAAAATACCTTTTATCTTTGGAGTTTAGTTGAAAGAATAAACAGAACAAAAAGCATGAAATATGGAGCTAGCAGAGCTCATTAGATGAAAAATTAGCAGAGATGAGTCCACGGGGTTATGTTGACTCCGTCAAATGATCATCTTTCAGAACAGAGGCTAAAACAAGAGAAAGCTTTAAACCTTCTTATGCATGAAATCAACATAATTATATTTTCACTCAGGTGTGTACAGTCCCATGCTTCCTCCATCTTTCTTCTCCAAAGCTTTAACAAGCTTTTTACTTCTGGTGACTTGTGGGTAAGCTGCTGACCCACAGTAAAGGAAGCATAGCCATTTTGCCTTCCCTGTGGCCTTCCCGTGACCGATGATTCTGGCCTTCTTCTGCATGTAACACAGTTTAGACCGTTAATCGGGGAAGACCCATGTGAGCAAAACCTGCGGGCAGCAGAGGCTGCAGAAGATCTTTATCCAAGGAGATTGTGCAGCACATAGTGGGCCTGCTACCTCTAAAGTCTGTGCTGTTTCTGCATGGAACTTGAGAGACCATACTGCAAAAAAGACACAAGAGTTCGGGACTGTGTTAGTTTCCTTCTCTGTTGCTGTGATAAAACACTAGCCAAAACCAGTTTAAGGAGGAAAGGGTTCATCTGGCTTACAGCTTGAAGTCCATCATGCATGGAAGTCAGGGAGGGACTCAAGTAGAGAATCTGGAGGCAGGAACTGAAGCAGAGGCCGTGGAGGGATGCTGCTTACTGGCTTGCTCCTCAGAACTCGCTCAGTTTGCTTTCTTTATAACGTAGGACCCTCTTCCCAGGGCTACCACCTGCCACAGTGGGTTTGAGCCTCCTCCATTAATCAGTCAAGAAGAAGTCCCACAGATTTACCTACAGGCCAATCTGAGGAAGACAGATCCTCAACTGATGCTTGCTCTTCCCAGGTGACTCTAGTTTGTATCAGGTTTTCAAACACTAACCAGGACCAAGCCTGTGTCAAGGTATGTCCTTCATTAAACCTGATTCAAGGTTATGCCCTTCATTAAGCCTGTTTCAAGGCATGCCCTTTATTGTTCTTCCAACTGTTTTCACATATAAACCCCAGCAATGACTTTTTTTTTTAAAAAGACAGTCTCTCCATGTAGCTCTGCCTGGTCTGGAACTCTCTGTGTAGACAAGTCTGGCCTCAAACTTATTAAGTTCCACCTGCCTCGGCCTTCTGAGTATGGGGATTGAATGCATTTGAAGGGAATAGAAGTTTCCTCTACCCACAGTGGCCTGCCTTATGTTAGCTACCAAAATTAGGCACATGAGGTCACTGTGTTGGAAGTACCAGGCTCCCTGCTGAGAAAATTCCTACCAGCACTGGCTTCTAGGAATCGATTTAGGTTTTGAAATCGGCCTCAAGGAGGGTTTTCTCTGACAAAGCAACAGATTGCACAAACAGGTTCATATTCAGGGCTGGACTCAACTCTCCCTGGAGACCTTGGTTGTGGGCAATCTGCACATGGACTTATTTATAAGATGCCCCCCTGTAACTGTAGGGCAAAGGGCATAATGCTTACATACCTCTCCCAAGTATAGCTTTACCAATGCAAAGGGTGGGCATGGCATTTTGTGTGAGTGAGACCAGGGCAGAATAAGAGGCTTCTTTCTGCCAAGGATGCTACCTAGTGTGTGATAAGACAGCTGAAGTGAGGTGAGAGGGGGCCACGACAGGAAGTGAGGCGTTATATTTTGTGACATTTTGCGGCTCAAGCTGAGATAAACCAGAAATGAAACATGCTATTTGGGCCAGTTCTGCACGACATCTGAGGGTCTAGGTCATCCACTTACAACCTACGTTTTCTTATTACTTAAGAATCAGCCTGCACCACTGTGAACAGCACAAACACTACAAGCAGCCCTGATACACAAGTTTGAGTGTATGATGGCTATTTTTAGTTATCTACTTGACTTACATGTGGGATCAACTAAAACCAAGTGGGATTCTTCTTACATAATTTTGAGATGGAAAGATCCACCTTTAATCTGGGCCATACCTCCTTGCAGGCAGCCTATATAAAGGATGTGGAAGAAGGAATTGCTTCCACTTGACCTGCTCACCCTTACTTTCTACTGGCAAGTTCATTCCTTCACTGAAGTTAGAGCCTACTTCTTCTGAATTCTGATGTATACTGAAGATGAGCTGAGACATTCAGCCAAGTGGACTGAGTTACTGGATTCTTGGACTTTCCATTGGTAGACAGCCATTGTTGGACTAGCTGGACCACAGCATTGTAAGCCATTCTAATAATCCCTAGCTCCCTCTTTCTTCCTCTTGTTCCCCCTTTTCTCCCCCTCAATAGATTCATTCTATCAGTTATATTCCTCTAGAAAAACCTGATTAATACACAATGTGTCCCCTAACCAAGT